GTCAAAACCTCTATAAAATCGTATGTAAGAAAAAATGATGTACACTCACTTTCGACTAATCCCAAGGACCATAATATTCAGTAACTTATACTGCTTGAGTATGGGTGGGCGCGGATTTTGATGTGCAGTCGTCTATCAGTAGGGTGTGGTGGGTGTGTAGATATAGTCTTTCCCAATATCCGTATCCCCACACCCACACTCACACTCACACCACACCCATACCCACACCCACACCCCACACCCACACCCACACCCACCCTATACCATCCGAATCGATATATACAACAGAATCGATATGTCATATCACGCCAGTTGGATATTTCCTGTTCTATTTACTTTTCTTCCAATCAATAGAATATGGGTCTTACTAACAATACCAGCTACTTCAGTTACTAAAAAATGTTCAAAATATTGTGGCCATGGTCAGTGTATGTCTTATATGAATGACGAGAAAGAATTTTGTCTTTGTAATTCTGGATGGTTCGGTGGTCATTGCACAACAGCACTCAATTGCAGTTGTTCACCTGATTCACTTTGTCTTGGTGTCATTCATAATCGATCAATATGTCGCTGTCCATTGCATAAAACAGGATTGCATTGTCTTCTACCTTCTGCTTGTCAAACAGCACGATGTGCCGATGATAAGCCTATTTGTGTTCCGTTCGACGTAGGTGGTCAAAAATCCTATAAATGTGAATGTCAAGAATAGTTTGTTAATGATGGGTGTGGGTGTGGGTGTGGGTGTGGGTGTGGGTGTGCGTGTGCGTGTGGGTGTGGGTGGGTGTGGGTGGGTGTGGATATCTTCTCATCATACCCACCCACACCCAACCAGTATCCAAATCGACTATATAATTGTTTGCATCTACCAATATAATGTATCATGAATTGAACCATTATTGAACTAAATAGGAAATATTTTGGAGACGTCAAGTTAGTGTATTTAAATAGTTGCTGATGATTTACAACCCTTATCCTCGAATGAATGATATTTAGATAATTTGGAAGTTGCTTATCGGGTAGAAGAAATATTCTTCTGCTCCATTCTCTGCCATTTTCTTCAATAGATCAAAGCAAGTATTTCAATTGCTTCATATCGTGAAATCAGTTCATTAAAATCGAATACCATGGGCAAAGTTGAAATGAACAAGTTTTTCAAGTTTTGGTCATCACTATTGACTTATAGAAGTACAATGTCAGCAGCTGCCGAACACGAGCATATCTCACATAGTCTTTCTATTGATCTGCGTTTATGATCGTCTAGTTTGTGATAATGGAAAATGGTGTATTGTATAACTTAAGAATATTGAACATATTCAGTTCTAAATAAGGTTCTCACTACCAAAAACCACAAAGTAAAAATATGCTGCGTTTGTAGCCTGTCTGAACTGAAATATCTAGATTTTAAAATTTTGGTCATATATGTATATATATTGTTTACAGTTCAAAGTTTCAAAAGATTTTTTTTATTAATTTTCATAATCATTGGATAGAGATCATCAAGTTGGTTAATGAAAAGTCATATTTCGAATTCCATATGAAAATTGTATGAAAAAAGTTCAAGATACCATCATTTTGAAATAAAAGAGAAAAATATACTGAAACTTCTAAGTTTCTTAAAATTTTAACATTGTATTTGAAGCATGCCTTTCCATTAGAGTGTGGATGCTAGTCTAGAGAAGATTCACAGCCACACCCACATTAATGACATCGCATATCTCAGCAGTAAAAAAAACAATATTTTACATATACACGAAAGTCTTCAAATGATTTTACGATTTCAGTTCTTTGAATGATTCTCAAGTGGTGTTTTGGTACAGGGTTGGAAATAATATTATTCCAGCGGGATACCACTATAATTTCGAATAGAAGATATAATGAATTTTATATCAAATAAAAGCTCGTCAAAAATGGGCTTTATTGATACTAAATAGTAAGGGTTATGAAAACTTTTTAATGTCGAATTTAAGAAACTTTCAAAACTTTTGTACTTTTTTTGCAGTGGTAAAGTAAGGTGCCAGTAATTCAAAAATGGAATAAAATGTTTTGCTTAGATATTTTTACATGATCCGATAGAGCTCGTCGAGCTCTACAAAACTGTATATATGAAATTTTTTAAACTGACCTGTTGCGTTCTAATTCACTGAAAACTGTCTAAAGAATGTACCAAAAACCCCTATTTTTTACACTTTTTATAAGGAAAAAAAGTAGTCTTTTTTTACACTAAATTCAACTGTTTTCCATTAGTATCTTATGTAAGATGTTGAAAACATACTCATTCGATGCAGTTTTTCATGCTGCATCGAATGAATATTTTTCGAAAAGTTTGAAGGAGTAAAAATAATAAAAAAAAGCCAATTTTTTTGAAAATTCGAGTGTTTTTCTTTCATATCACAAATATGACTTTTTTAAACTTTTTTTAAGATTTTCCAAATAGTTTTTTGAATTTTTTATTACAAAAAAAAGACTCAGAAAACTTTCCACATATACAGTTTTGTAGAGCTCAACGAGCTCTATCGGACCATGTAAAAATATCTAAGCAAAACATTTTATTCCATTTTTGAATTACTGGCACCTTACTTTACCACTGCAAAAAAAGTATAAAATTTTTGAAAGTTTCTTAAATTCGACATTAAAAAGTTTGCATAACCCTTACTATTTAGTATCAATAAACTCCATTTTTGACGAGCTTTTATTTGATATAAAATTCATTAAATCTTCTATTCGAAATTATAGTGGTATCCCGCTGGAATAATATTATTTCCAATCCTGTACAATTGGAGTCCTGATTCTATTTTCAATTCTAACATTTAAGAGCGACTGAACTTTACCATCCTCAAAATAGCATCTATATACCCTGCACTCGACGCCATAGCTGCACTTAAATTCTACACGCTACAGTCAAAGCCACACTTACAAATTATTTATTGGCTAAGCAAACATGATAGTTACAAGATGCTAAATTTTTTTCTATGAACTTTATTTATTTTGTGATAATTTTGTTGATAATACTCAGCGCTTAGAAGATAAGACTGATCATTTTATTTGTATCCTATAACTAATCACATATTGTACATGGCAGACTGTTATCATCTTCCTTTACATTTAAACTCATCGAACATCTCTACGCATATGTATTTTTCTCAATGTAGTCATTAATTTCATCATGAAATCGTTCGTTCTTTTTTGTACTATTGATTGACATATTATTTCAAAGAACGAGTTAACGCATGAAAAGATAATTATTAAGTTGAAATACAATAGTTTTTAGACAATAACACATTGAATTGTTAGACTAACCCTCTAGCAACACTTTATCTATCAGAACAGAATGAGAATTGAATAAGGATAGTAAGTTTTACAATAATTGGAGCTTAAGTCTTTATATATACATTTAATAAAGGCGCAAGCCTACTTAGTCGTCATGACTCCACTACTTTGTCTGATCAGATTTCTTTCAACTTTACTATTTTGATCGTACCCAACTTCTCTGTATATTTCATATCTTACATTATTTTTCAAACTTTATCAAGATAATCGATTATGTTTTGATTCTTCTAATAATTAATAAATTCATCTATTTTCTTCAGTATGTTGTTCCTATAGTTTTCTTCTTTTCGTTCTTTCTCTATTGAATTTACCGAAATAAAAGTAAAGATTCACATTTACAATTTCTCATTTGAGTTTCAAATTTTTCATTCTGTATACATAATCTTAAATGTATAAAAATGTGACACAATAGGAGAATTTTATTTATTAGTTGAATCACGTATAGATTTTCGTTTTTCTCATCTTTCGAATACACACACGTATATATATATATATATAAATCATTATGTCTATACTACAAAAACATTTTTATCTGCTTTCATTTATTTTAGAAAATCAAAAAACATATTATCATGTTATTTCATTTTGATTTCTTTTCATCATGAATTCTCATTTTGAAATATTTTCACCTGAGATCTTATATGAAATATTTGATTATTTACCAATTTCTGATATATTTCATGCATTTATTAGTCTTAATCATCATTTAAATAATATTATTAACTTACATTCACTCAAAGTTGATTTCCGAAAACTTTCTCGATTAAAATTTGATTTTGTTTATCATTATCTTCAACCTGAACAAGTTATTTTATTTATTTTCTCTAATGAAAATATGGCTGAGCAAGTGCTTATTTTTCATCGATATTTTCCACATTATAAATATCAATTTATTAATCTTCGAAGTATAAAATTAATTAGAACAGAAGATATTCTATCGGATTTGCATATACTGTCTTAGCTCTTACATTTGAAGGTTGTATTTATGTTGGTAAAGAACTTATTGATACCATTTTGAGACAAACAAACTCTTTAACTTATTTGAAAGTTGATTGTATTCATATTTTACAGTTAATGGATACGGTATTTCCTTCTCTTACTGATTTAAATATTGATTATCTTGAATTTAGAATTATTTGTTGTCTTTTCAAAAAAATATGAAGTGTCTTTGAATGATTTTCATTTACAGACTCAAAATCTTCATTCACCAATAAATCATTTGAAACTTCTTATTGATAATCAAAATTTGATTTCAGTACTTTGATTTTGATTATTTATCTCATTATCTTACAAATCTTACATTGATTTATTTAATAAATAAAGTTGATTTTTCGCATAAATTAATTCAAAATTATCTTATGAAATTATCAAATTTAAAATATCTAACGCTTTCTATAGCATTAGATTTAATTGATGGTGAACCATAGGAAAAATTTCTTCATCAAACACAAATTATTAAATTTAATTTTAAATTTATATTATCTAAAGATGTTATTTTTAATCCAAATCAATCAATATTACTTGATTCATTTCAAATCAACATTTTGGCTTGAAGAAAAACATTGGTATGTTACATGTCATAAACAATGCTGCAAAAGACGTAAGTAAAGTTAGCCCCATATTTAATTTTTTTGTGTCCGGACCCGTTTTTGGACTTAGGCTGGCTTATATGCAGAATTAAATTCTGGATTGAATGATGCCATTTTCGACTGTGGTCATCGAGCAAAAATCTCATTTATAATCCAAATACCGACTTTTTTGAGTACTTTCCCAAAAGTATTTCGTGTCTGGATTCGCTCTCTCACTTGGGTTAGCTCTACAAATGGTTGGGTTGAGTTCAGAATTCAATTCTGCGTCGAATGATACTAATTTCGACTAGGGTTGTCAGGCAAAATCAGTAGATGATGGTAACGGTGTCAGGTCGAAATTTCTGGTTCTCGTTCACTCTCACCTGTTGATTTTGTCGGACAGCCCTAGTCGAAATTAGTATCGTTCGACGCAGAATTGAATTCTGAACTCAACCCAACCATTTGGAGAATACTTCCTATTCCCAAAAGTTACACATTCCTGCATCGCCTTCTGAATTTCTGCAATCCAGAATTTGTGCACATCTCGAATCTCTATGAAATGCAGGAATTCCTAGGCATTCCTGCCTATTCCCAAATTACAAATAACTCATGGATGGCAAAATGATCATTTATCGAGCTTGAATAAATGAAAACCGAAATTCCGGAATTTGTGCACGTCCGGAATCACTAGGAAATGCAGGAAATCCTGCTCATTCCCGCACATTCCTGCTCATTCCTGCTCATTCCTGCTCATTCCAGCTCATTCCTGCACATTCCTGCCCATTCCTGCTCATTCCTGCGCATTCCTGCCTATTCCGCAATTAGAAATATTTCATGGATGACTACATGATCATTTATCGAGCTTCAATAACTGCAAACCGGAATTCCGGAATTTGTGCATATCCGGAATCACTAAGAAATGCAGGAATTCGTGGTCATTCCTGCACATTCCTGTCTATACCGGAATTACAAATATCTCATGGATGACTACATCATCATTTATCGAGCTTCAATAAATGCAAACCGGAATTCCGGAATTTGTGCACATACGGAATCACTAGGAAATGCAGGAATTCCTGCTCATTCCTGCACATTCCTGCCTATTCCGGAATTACAAATATCTCATGGATGACTGCATAATCATTTATCGAGCTTGATTAAATGCAAACCGGAATTCCGGAATTTGTGCACATCCGGAATCACTAAGAAATGCAGGAATTCCTGCTCATTCCTGCACATTCCTGCTCATTCCTGCCTATTCCGGATTTACAAATATCTCATGGACGACTACATGACCATTTATCGAGCTTGAATAAATGTAAATCGGAATTCCGGAATTTGTGCATATCCGGAATCACTAGAAAATGCAGAAATTCGTGGTCATTCCTGCACATTCCTGCCTATTCCGGAATTACAAATATCTCATGGATGACTACATGATCATTTATCGAGCTTCAATAAATGCAAACCGGAATTCCGGAATTTGTGCATATCCGGAATCACTAGGAGATGCAGAAATTCGTGGTCATTCCTGCACATTCCTGCCTATACCGGAATTACAAATATCTCATGGATGACTACATCATCATTTATCGAGCTTCAATAAATGCAAACCGGAATTCTGGAATTTGTGCATATCCGGAATCACTAGGAAATGCAGGAATTCCTGGTCATTCCTGCACATTCCCGCCTATTCCGGAATTACAAATATCTCATGGATGACTGCATGATCATTTATCGAGCTTGATTAAATACAAACCGGAATTCCGGAATTTGTGCACATCCGGAATCACTAGGAAATGCAGGAATTCCTGCTCATTCATGCTCATTCCTGCCTACTCTGGAATTACAAATATCTCATGGACGGCTAAATGATCATTTATCGGGCTTGAACAAATGCAAAGCGGGTGTGGGTGTGTGTTTGGGTGGGTGTGGTGTGGGTGTGGGTGGGTGTGGGTGTGGGTGGGTGTGGGTGTGGGTGGGTGTGGGTGTGATGTGGGTATTGGTGTGGGTATCCTCTTTCACCTAACCCACACCCGCACCCACACCTACACCCCACTCCGCCACACACCCACACCCACACCCACACCCACACCCACACCCACACCCACACCCACACCCC